ACGTCGAAATTCTTTACCTGTGATCAAATACCAAACAATCGGTAATATATAGGAGAAGTAAATTGGAATTCGAATAATCGTTGTAGTGAGAATGATTGATTTAAATAAATTTGATCGCAATAAAATTAAGTATTCGATCCATTCTGGTAAGTTAAGTATAATATAGACAATAACAAGTAGAAAAAACATTCTTGTTTGATGATATTCCATATGACGACATTTTGAAACAGCCATGGGTATATCACCAATTAATCTTCTATCACGAAATGTCAATAAAGCAAATATAATCATTAGAATAGGTGCAATAATAACAAATAAAATCATTTGAACGATTACATAAAATTCCTTATAAATTGTATTAACTCGAACATTACAACCGAATCCATCTGTCGAGTTTAGATCAACTACAATTGGATTGCTGATAGCAAGAAGTCCGCAGAATATCATAGTGAGAAGAATTGACAATACCATAGCTTGAAAACTATGAAATATATGAAATCGAGGATTTGCTGAACCAGCACAGTATCGATTAATAGCAGCAAGTACAATAAGATAATGTGATAAACTTGTGCAAAATATATCAATAAAGCTGATAAATTGACATAGTGATAAAGAATTTGTTATTGCTTGAATTTGAAATCCATCTGTCAATAGATGATACGTGATAACAATAAGTGAATAAAAACAATTATTAACAGCCAAAGCAAAAAAGTACCAAGAACAAACATGATGATTGAAAACAGGTCGAATAAATATAGTAATATTCAATAGATTACCAAATATACCCATAATAATGATTATAAGAAGAATCCATCGATTCAATTGAACACAAATATCACTGAATGAATCAACCATTCTGTATATATAATCGACTAATATCTGTATTAAATCTAGTAGAGATACAACTTCTTGTATAATGGCAAATGCGCAGTATTGTTCTGTCAATGAGACTTATAGATGTTTGAAAGACAAAACTTTTCTATTTTTATAAATTACTGTTCAATTAACCATCTACTGTCATATTCATTATATATCTGGATTAGACTTTGCTCAGTAAAAACAAAAATAATCTCAACTGTGAAACTCATTCTTCATTAACAGATATACCTCATGATGTACATACGCCTACGAATTTTTGTCATATCTATACAGACAACAAAAATTTAATTTAATCTAAATTTATTTTTCATATACAAAAAAATTTCCTATGCATCTTGTTTTATATCGAATCGTAAAAACGATGACTACCTCACCAGTCCTAGGAAAGTTCATAGTGCATGAATATAAACAATATAATCTGCTAATCTCATGTAATGATTGATATAATAAGACTATGAAATTATATTTTATTTTATAGTAATTTTTTCCTTTAAATTTCATCAGTTTATACGGATATATAGAATGAACAACCTATTCTGCCATTTTTAGAAGTTCATAATAATTCATGGTAATTTTAATAAATTTAACAGAAGGATAGTATGAAATAAAAGAATTTAAGTAAGATTTTGCTGATACTATAAATAAAGAACTATTATTATCATATGGGTACATTTAAAAAATTACAGAAGTGTTATTTCTGACAGATATTCTGGATGAATTATAATATCTAATAAGATATCTGAATTTGACTAATAATCAACTGAAGTAAAGATATCGTATTATTAATTATTAGAATGTATGTTACAGTCATACTTTGTAATTAAATAATAAACTTAGACTTTCCACAAGCTTCAAATCAAAAAGAAGCATTTATATAATGTTTTTTCAAATCTATAAAAACTATTTGATATACAAAACTATATGATTTGTTATAATTATTAAATAGATGATTATAATCAACACCTACACTCTTTAAATGAAATTAGGAATTTATTAAAACATTCATGTTTATCATTAAATCAGAGATTTTTTTGTGATAAATTTCTATCAAAAAAAAATATATGCAGCAGATGCATTTGTTTTTCTTCCACAATTAAAGAACGATAATATAAACATCGCACGGTCTTTTTTTTGTTTCTTATCCGATACAACATATGGGCATATACACGTGGTTTGTTCTGTTTCTATCAACAACATGCGTTTGAATTATCTACACGTTGTGTAATTGCATCACTTCAAATACCAAAACATTTATATACTAGTTCGAAACATAAATGTACAGCGTCTAACGCTCCGGAGTTGTAGAGTACAAAAAATTTAAAGGTATGAATATACCATAAAAAAGTACAAAAAGGTTTGAAAATGGTTAAAAAAAAGTATAAAAACGATGCCCCGAATGGTAACATACACTCGGTGTGCTGAAAAAATACTTAAAAAAATCGAAAAAAAGCCCTCCGGCTTTTTGATATTTTTTTTTCCATGATACAATATTGTGGTTTTACATTGCATGCAATAAAAATGATATCATAATTAGAGGAACCTTCATCGATAGACCTTGACATATAAAATAGATTGATACATGATTTATTTTTTAATATTATAATATATGCATGGCGATATGTATTTTTCTAATAAAACTCTGTTCTAAAATCTATCGCTCAATTACTTTTTTTTTAAAGAATAATCATAGAAACATACATATGTGCTTAATCTATATTGTTCATGTGATTAATTTTATATAAGAAAAATGGAAATCGAAGTAAAACATAACTTTAACACTGGCACTTTTATGTTATATGCAGAACTGACATAAACGGTCGTTTTGTAGTATATATATACTTTTTCTTGTTCGCTTTTTTCTGTATTTATTCAAGAAAAAAACACAGATATCTGTTCATAAGAATGAGCTTAAACGATAGTGAAATACAAAATTTATTCTTTTGTTTATTCGAGTTCGTAATGATATGTGATAATTTAGGTATGTTCTTTATTCTTATGTTTCGATAAACTTAATCTGATATTTTAGACAATGAAGTATATAAAGTGTTAGTTTCATAAATGCATTTCTCAGTGTGATTCTCGAAGAATTAGATTAACAGTAGGAGAAAAGAACACTATATATATTTACAGTATTGATCAAGAAATATATCATAGCTATCAAAAACAAAATTGATTGCATGTTATTTAAAATGTGTTTTCTATCTCGATGTTGAAGATAGTTTTGTATTGTTTATGAAATCAGTTCAATAAATCACATAAAATTGAATTAATTTACACTTTAATCAGTTTACAAACTTGTAAGAATGATTTTCAAATAGACGAAAATATAATTAATGAATATCTACATTCCAAGAAAAATACAAATTTGGTATAGTCTAACTTTCATATTCGATTGAATCGAATATTTATATAATAAACTTTTATGGATATAAATGAGAGAATATACAGCAAATAGATTTATTTTATTCTCTTCTACAACTAGCGAAAGTAATACACATGTTAAAGCTTTTCTGTTTTTTTTATCCAGCACAACATAATTACACACGTGATTTGTTCTTTTTAGGTGAAAGGCATACGTATGCATGATCGATGCATTGTGTAATTTCATCATTTCAAATATATAAACATTCATTAGTTAGTTTACAAAATAAATCTGTAGCGTATTAGACTATGCTCCGGCAAGGAATGTGTGCCACTGTTCCATTGGGGAAGAGCTAGTGTAGACAGTTTGAAGTTGTGCAAAAATCTGATTAAAGATATGCACTCGATGCTTCGACTGCTGATAGACAGCTCATAACAGTTCCTGTTGCTAGGACGTGCAAAAAGCCTTCCGGCTTTTTTGATATTTTTTTATAATATTATTGAAATATATGACTTCAATATAATTTATTTAAAGAGATTTATAGTAGGACTTCTTGGAATCTATCTTTAAAGATAAGGTGTGTATATATAAAATATAAAATTAAAAGTTTAATTTCATCCAACGTTTCAACTATAAAAAATAAAAATTTTAAGAAATAAAATTCAATATATAAAAACATATGAATAGAAATCTACCGATTTATTGTTTGAAATAATTAAAGACAATAGTTTTACATGAAGCATTCTTTTCCAGTATCACTTTTGCTAATTCTTCATCACGATTAATATGATTAATAGTGTAACGATATAGTTTTGAAAAAAATTGTCTTGCAAAATAAGCTATTTCGATATGAAATCTACGACTGTATCACTCTTCGACAAAATAATACAGATACATGTGTCTACTTGATAAATCTTTTGAAGTACAAAATTTCATATAGCAGTCACAAATTACAAATGTAATTTTCCTTTTATAGCGTGGATCAAATGTTAATTAAGAATCTTCTTTATTGAATAAGATATAACTCGCATTATTTTAAATTTTATGTTTCACATTACGTATTGAGATTAAAAACATTGAAAAACGACTATACAAAGTTTTCTGAAGTCTAAAATGATTCTATTTTACATCGGAAGTAAAGCATTTATATTGATATTTTCAATATAAATTTAGTTGTAATCGAAAAATAGATGAGATTGACTAATATTTATTTTAAGACATATATTAAAGAACACTGTCTAAATCTGGAGTTTTCTCGATTATGTTTGTATATATAAACCACCATAGAACCATATAGATTACATTAATATTTATTTGATAATCAATTGAATGAAATTTTTTGAAATGATTTTCTTGTTTATTGAACATAAAAAAAAAATTTTTTTCTATTCTCATTCCGAATAAATACACATATATAAACACGAAATAAAAAGAAATCTACAAGTGTAATTGTAATCTATTATAAACATACTATTGTTTCATCATTCATATCTTGTACCATCTAAAAATAAATATTTTATATCATTTGTATATTTTAAATAAAATGGAATAACGTTTACAATTAATGGAGGATGTGTTTTTTTTGATCGTCTTTTTGATCTACGTTCACCAATGGTATTATGAGCTGTTTTGACATGATAATTTTCCATCGGTATAAATGAAGTATTAGGAGTTGATGTCATAACCTTAACAAAACAATATCACATATAAATTTTTTATATATTTTTCTTACTTTAATTTGACCATAAACATTTTTCATTGTATGTAAAAGTGAAAAATCTAAAAATTGATCATCGGTACATGTCGGCTGATGACCAGATGATCTAACAAGTGGATGAGGAGGTGATAATTGTAATATAGCAGATGATGGTGGTGGTGGAGGAGGAGCACGTGGTTTAGCTCGTATCGGTTGACCTTCAGTATGACTTGTTACTTTATTTATTAATTTTCTTGCAAGATTAGTTGCTGGTGTTTTTACTGTACGTTTTGCTGTACTTGTTATCGCTGTACCAAGAACAAATGGTTCTTTGTTAGCTACTCGACGAGGCTATAAAAATAAATTTAAATAAGATTAATTATAAAGGATAAAAATATTAATATACTGTAGTTATTGGTGTTTTTGATCGAACTGGTGTAAGACCTAATAAACGTGATGGTATTGGTGTTTTTCCTAGTGGATTGAATGGTATCGCTGTAGCTGGAACTTGTTGATGAGCTTCATCAAATTTTTGTCGAATAGGTATATTATCAATTAAAAATGTTGAATCATTATATTCCGCTAAGATATTTAAAAATTCTTGTTCAATAATTGGTAATTCTCGATGAAATTTTTTTCGCTGACGTCCTTCAATTTCAGCATTATAACCACGTACATGAAAACGTCCAGGATCAGTTGATGTTTTCTAAATTATTTTATAGGAAAATTAATTAATGTAAAAAAATAAGTAACATACTATAAATGCAACAAATTCTTCCCAAAATGAAAACCATTTATTATAAGCATCAAGAATTGGTTTACGTTTTTCATAAAGTTGTAAAATACGTTCATATTCAGCATCATATGCATCAAGTAATTCTGGTGATAATGTTTCTATTAAAATATAAATTAAATAATAAAATACTAAAAAATATAATTTTAATTTACCAAAATCAAGTTTATTAAGAATAATTCGTTCATCGTCATTTAAATGTGCTTTGTCTAATAAATCAATAATTTGTTGACGAATTGATTGACAATATTCTTTTCCATTTTGCATTCGTTCTTCTCGACAACATAAAATTTCATGTTCAAGCTAAATATTTTGAAAAATTACTTATTTAGAAATTCATTTTCTTACTTGTTTAACGATAAATGCATTGATATTTTCACTACCAGTTTTATATGCAAGACAATAATCGTTATTAGGATCCTTTTGTAAACGTTCATAAAGATGAGTAAGTTGATTATGTAATGTATAAAAACGAGCGTTTTGGATTTCAATTTGTTTTTCTAACTAAATAAAAATATCGAATAGAAAATAGGCCGTAGATGTATGAGGATGTTCATTAATTATCTAATAAAAGTTAACCTGATGTATTGTTGTTTCAATTTCATTAAGACAATCAGCAGTAAGACAACGATCAAATTGTTCAAGAAGAAGATATTCAACAGTTGATGATGACGATGCAGGTGTCCATTCTAATTGTTCAGATAATTCTTTCAATTTAAGATAATATGATGATATTTGAGTTAAACGCATTTCCTAAAAAATATTTAACGAAATAAATATAAATATTAAATTTATTTCGAACTTTTAATTCACTAAGCATTTTAACATGTTCTTGAATTTTTTCATTTATTTGTACAAGTGAAATTGAGAGATCTGAAAGAATATATATATATATAGATGAAATATATCATATGTAATGAATTCCGAACTTTCTTTGAATTTTATGGGTGTAGTTTGAAGTATTGTACATAAATAATTTTCTTTCTTTTCAAGTTCATTTCTTTGACGAATTAATTGTTCTTCATTTATTAATAATTCTTGCATTTTTCTATCGATATATATTTCTTGTTCTTTTAATTTTAATCCATCGAATAATGAAGTCTAATTTCGGTATAAACATAAAAATAAATTACACAATATGAATTTATTTTGATTTTACTTCAATGGTAGATGAAAGACCAGTACGTTCAAGTAGATCTTCATAATCATCCATTGATTCTTTAAGTAATTGCTCTCGTTTAATTAATTGTTCTTCATAAGCTAATAATTGATCAGCAAGTAATTTCTAAAAGAATTAATAAGAATAATATACGAAAAAAAATCATAATTAAATATTACTCTAGTATATTCTTCAACTTTTTCAGCACGTGACATCCATTGATGATCAGTAAAACCAAATGAACACCATAAACGATACCAATCAGCACAAACTGTTGCATGATCAAGTATAAAACATTCATTATTATCCATCAATGAAAGAATTTCACTATAAATATCACAAAAATTGAAAAACTGAAGTTTGTTTTTAGTTGAAACTTTTTAATTTAGACTTATTAAACAAATAGGTAAAAGATAGTTATTAGTTAGTCTTTGTAGTCGTTAACCAACGATATTAGTAAATAGAATTTCATACATATAGTGACATCTGTATTATTTAAAACGTCGATTTACTAGAAGAGTATGAAGGAAGTTACTTATATAAAAACATACGATTTATGATACATGAAAGTAAGATCTTATATATTCTGTCTAAAAAAAATGTTATATATGCATGCGGAATTTTTGTGTGCATCGATTCAAAAAAAGAAACAGTATGTTTTTATATTGAAACACTTCATCACTATTTAAAAAATATCTGAACTGCAATCGATATCCTCAAGCATCAGTTCTTTTTAGAATAGCAGAGAGAAGTATTAGTGCTTCTTTATTTATGTAGAAAACATTCACTTTCCTATAATAGTTACGAATTAATGCATTTTACTATTTTCTTTTAAACGGCATCACCGTATGATATTTGTTCTATTCTGTGTAACCTTTCTTTCTGTCTTTAACGCAGTTTATATTTTTAGCTACCATGTGCTGTTGTAATGTACGTGAAGAGAAAGGAAGAAAAAAGAGAAAAAAAAACAGTGAATTTCAGTCTTCATTTGATAAAAAATAATACACAAGTAAGTATTACATTTTTTTAAAAAATGTCTGTGTGAACGAATATATTCGCGTAATATTTATCACCACTAAATGAGAACTAACGTTAACTTTTTTTGATGGATACGGAAAATTTTATTTCATATTAATTACGAATTTCATATTCTTTATAACTCTTTGTAACATAAGATAAGGCCAAAGAATAATTGATAAGTTACTGTTACAGATTTATAACACAAACATCATTTATTCATTATTTTATTCACATGTATGTTTTAGATATGGCTAGTACATCAAACGAGTATTCTTCATATGAAGGTGACAAAGGTAACGTATGAAAGTCATCTATCAGAATTAAAAAGGACAAGTTTTCATATTCAGTTAAAACAGACCTAAAAGAATGTATGTTTTTAGAAAAAACATGGCTTAATCTTCAGCATCATTCTGATGGAAAGATCAAGACACCGAAAGAGCTTGAGGGTGCCATGAGCAAACCTCCTAAAGAATGTCAGTCTGACATATTCGATCGTATTCATGGTTCAATGATTGGTATGGCATTGGGTGATGCACTCGGTGCTCATGTAGAATTTCGACCTCATGAATTTTTGGTCGAGAACCCAGTAGAAACTCTCGAGGGAGGGGGCACTTGGGGTCTAAAGAAAGGACAGGTAAAAGGTTTTTTATGTATATAAATCTTAATATTACTTTATTCACATTTTTCTCTCATTCGTTGTCATATTTTCTAAAAGTACAATTAAACATTGATCATTGTAAAATAGTATTAATAATCAGAGTGTATTTTGTACTCTATATATATGTTCATGATTTCTGATATATATTTTAGTTCACTGATGATACATCGATGGCACTATGTCTTGCAAGTTCATTAATAGTTCGACAAGATTATGATCCTTACGATCAATTAGTTCGCTACAAATGGTGGTTCCGAGAAGGATATATGTCTTCCACAGGAAAATGTTTTGATATTGGTGCCGCTACAAGACATTCACTGCTCGAATTTGAACGTCGTCAAGCAAATGTTGCTAAAAAATATCATATTTCTTTGGAGGCCTTAGATTTGACTTCAGATCCTGCTCATCTTATAGATTTCGACGTTAAATGTAGCGCAGATGGCGTGGCTGGTAATGGAGCATTGATGCGACTTGCTCCTGTACCATTATTCTTTTATCAATATCCTATTTATGCTGTTGAATATTCTGGACATAGTGGAGAGATTACTCATGGTGATCAGAAAGCAATTGATGCATGTCGTTATTATGGTGCTTTAATTGTAGCCGCTGTCAAAGGCGAAAAAAAGGAAGACTTGCTCGATGACAATTTTTACGATAAACATATAAAATGGTTTGATAATAAACCGTTACATCCAGATGTCGAGAGTATTGCACGCGGATCATATAAGAAAAAAGAAGGGTATGCAGCAGGTATCCGAGGAAAAGGATATATTGTTAGTGCTCTTGAAGCTGCTTTATGGGCTTTCTGGTCTGACGATCCTAAAGAATCTTTCAAAAAAGAAGTTCTTGCTGCTATCAATCTTGGTGATGATACAGATACGACAGCAGCTATATATGGTCAGTTAGCAGGAGCCTGTTATGGTTATGAAAAACTTCCTGAATGGAAAGAAGAAATTTACGCTAAGAAATTTATTAAATGTTTGAGCCAATGGATCGCTTATGAAGGAACAAAATGGTCACCAAAAAAATTAGCACCTTTAACAAATCCATCGTTAACAGTTATTGAGGATGATGGTAGACCACGACGCAAATCATCTGTCAGTTCTACATTGCAACCACCTGGTTCAGAAGAGCACACTAACCATAATCGACCAAAATCAGCAGAACAAAGAAATCTTGGGTCTCAACCTCAGCGTAAGACTTTTATATTTTGAACTAAATTAGATGGTTTATGCAGTAGTTTTAATTTAAAAATATTTAAGTCGTATTAGCTTCTGGTTTTATTCTTATGATTCAGAAACTTATAGTAACTAAGTATTTTTTGCACTAGTTTTCATAAATATGTTCATTATGATGAGATTATTTTGAAAAAAAATCAAAATGATAATCGATTGAACAGATTCTACCCTCTAAAAGTCTAGGAAATTGATTATACTTTTGTTTTTGATAAGCAATGATTTATGACTAATGTGTATTCAAGGCAGAGAAAGTATATTGTTTAAGGTCTTATATACTTCCGAAGAAAGGCACGATGAGAAATTTTTCACAATTATAGTTTTTTTTAAGGAATTTACAATTATGACAAATTAAAATCCGCTGATGATGTCTGCCATTGGCTTGAAAAACTCGGTAAAGAATATAAGGCTTATATAAAGGCTTTCAAGGAGCACGATATCAATGGATATTGGCTTATTAATCATATAGACAATGAAAACCTTGTGAAACTTGGTGTTAAGGATGCACATCATCAACAAACGATTCTTAATGGTATCAAGAAGTTAAAAGAAGAATGTCCAGTGCAGTTCGCAACGGTATTAAAAAATTAAGAAAATAATGTTTTCATAAAACACTATAATTTCGTTTTATATTTCATGAAAAAAAAACTTTTGTTTAAACTGATTTGAATATATGCATATGTAACTCATAATGATTAAAATGATGATTTTTATTCCTTTTTTTTATATCTTAGTTATATCAATAAATTAGAAAATCATTAAAAGAATTTGATTTTTTGATAAATTGTACAACTTTTTTGTGATGCTCATAAGCGAATTATATTTTCATAGATTTTGTTTTTACTTAATTAAAGATTAATATTATTAAATATAAAATCAGAAATTCAATATTAATTAAATTTAAGAAAATGAAAGCAGCGTTTTTGATATGTTTATTTTTATTTAGAATATAATATAATACTAGAATTTTCGACCATTGTCTAAAAGTTATAATCGGTTATCGTCTGTGGAAACACCAAAATCAGGGTGAGGGTGTCGGTGTGGGTTCTTTTGCTGATCTAAAGAAAACACTCACACACCCATCGCAAACTTAATCAAAGTATTAATGAAGAGAAAAGTCAATGATGAATATTATTGAATGATATGAATTAATTAATATTTATTGTACAATAATAAAATAATCAAACTTTATGATTTGTTTTATTTTGAACGAGGCTAAAGACACAAAATATTTGACCAATTTCTTTTTTAATTATGTCACCTCTTTCATCATTTAAACATTTCATTGAATATTTTATTTTTTGTTATATTAACAAGAAATATGTTTTGTCAATAAGAATTAAGTGGTTTATATTCTCGATTAACATGATAAATACATTATTTTCATAGTAAATCAAATACATTTATTTATATTTATTATTGAAAATATTTCTTAAAGGATTGTCAATAGACATTGAATAATGTAATTGATTTTTATTATCTGTTAATCTTCTATTATAATCATTTGATTTCGAATAAAAATATTTTTCTATGAATTAGTTTAAGAACAGAAATAAATAATTTAGAAATCAATACAATAATCAAATGAAATGCGAATGAAAATAAGTCCATTGGCTAATATTCATATGCATACATTATTCTTTATTTTATTTTCGATCAGATAGAGATTAACTTTTCTTTTTATTCTTTTGATGAATATGAATAAATATTTATTTTTCGCCGTTATAATTATTTCTATTCATCATGTGAAAATTATAATGCACAAGATAAAATTTAGAAAAACTGATAGAAGCTATATTTGCAATGTAATCTTTTAGAAATTAATTGCTATATCGATAATGGTTCTACTAAAACAGTTTTAGGGGAAGTATTGAAAATCAAATTTGGATTCTACAGTAAATATTTGGTTTCTTACTAAAACAGAGATGCTAAGTCATTCACAAAATGTGTTATTCGATTCGTCAATTCTTTATAAAGCTATTTATTCTTCTGCATAGTTCTTTTAGACATTAATAAATAATTCAGAATGTAAGAGAATAAAAATATATTATGTCTATCTCACATTTATCTATTAACAAATTCTCTCTTTACAATTTTATACTTTGAAACGTTAGTTGA